ACTCAAAGGGTTCAGGAAAAGCTCCTTCATAAATCGTCTGGTATCTGGAAACCCCATATTACAGTACAGTTCTAGAGACTTTAATGTCTGCTCTGGAAAGAGATGACCCTTATTTCTCTAAATACCAATTTGAGGAGAAAATTTCTGATAGAATCTAGAGAGATTTTTAATATGATAGACCAGGGTGTAACAAAATGGACTTTGAGCTAAACCAGATGAATTCCAGCTTCAAAAGACACCACCTCCTTCTAACCATTTGGGAAATTAACAGTTGGACCAGCTTATTTAGGGTATTGTTTTATTAATGGAGTCAACATCACCTGAAGTCTTTAACATGAATCTGAGGGGGTGTTTTGTTGTTTGGGTTGGTTGGTTTGTTTGGGTTTTTTTTGACACTTTAGCTCCACCACATGTTATAAACACAGTGAAATTCTGAGCTTGTGTTATTTGGGTCAGTCTAGGTGATAATATTAAAAACAGAAGAGATCATTCCTATCCCCAGAGAGCCACTGAGCTTTCGCACTCCTCTGAAATATTCCCGAATAATAGCGTTAAAAGAGGGAGGACAGGGTCCCTGGTCCCTCGCCTTTGTGTGTATGCAGATTGGATTAGGAGATTCTAAGGAAGAACAGGCAGGCTCCTTTTCCTCTCACTCCAGCTAGTGCTTATCTTTCTGCAGGGTTTTTACCTGTCAAAAGCCCAGACATTATCACATCAGAGGAAAGACCCTGGCGGGGGGGACTCCTTAAAAGTCTCCTATGTCCAAAGGGTCCCCCCCAAGGGCTCTCCTCAGGTGCCCTGACACAGCTCTTAGGAGGGGTAGTGCATTAGAGCAGGAGGAGTTGGACGCTGGCTCTCTTGGAGCCCGAGGACCACTCGGGAGTCCTCAGATCTGAGAGCCTGCTCCAGACGGAGGAGGAGCCTGGCTGGATCTCCATGACCCAGTTATGGACCACGTACTTCTAAGAATAACTTCCACATCAAGCGAGGAGAATTTTCTTCTCCCATCCCCATAAACATATCCTTTACCCTCATTACATTTTTATTGAGACGTCCCTCGGCACGAGTGCCAAACAAACCTTTAAGAGACTTGAAATTTCTTCAGCGTGCACGCAGCCAGCAGCGTGTGTGCATTTCCCTATCTCAGACAACGCAGAGCAGACACAAAGAGGAACCCTCGACAGGATGGATGCCTGAAGAAGCACAGACCAGGGAAAACATGGCAGAATAGCAGAAAGGAGCACGGGACGAGAGCCCTGGCTTCTGTCACCGTGGGCTGCTCACTGAGACAAAAAAAAAACCACAGAGAAGCCAACGGGGGTCGAACACCCTCTCCCCTCATTCACTCATTTGATAATAATGACCCAGAAAGTTTGCATTCATAAAAGGCACAGACATATCACGTGCCCTGAAAATGCAATCCTACCAGCCTTTGTTCCAAGCAGGAATCCCTACGCGAATAAAATAAATCTTGAAGGGGGGTTGGGGGGAAGGAAATAGGGTTTATAACAAATTTTTTTCCACAGACCCTCGGCTAGAGCAGCACTAGTGGGCGCAGCTATAATTACAGCAAACCTACATAATGCGTCTGAACTAGCTTAGCCCTTTCCCTGCAAGCAGAGAAGCTGCCACATCAGTAACTCCGTTGCTAGGGCAACTGCTTACTTTCCATATCAACTGCAAACTCGTTGCTATGGAGACACATATACAAGAAAAATTCCTCTCTATAGCCAAGGACCAGATGGTAGGGAAGTCAGGGAAGTCATGGGCTAACGGGCTGTACTAAATGGGACACACACTAGAGGACATTTAGATCTGTACGTTCACAATAGGATTAATCTGAATGACTGAATTCACAGGTCCAGCAGTATAAACAAAGCCAGGGAACTCCTCATCCACTCCCCGTCATGTGATACTTCACACTCTGGCCAACTATTATTAAACTGCTGAGCTCAATGCAAAGAGGTTTGTACAATCAAGGGCTCAGCATTTTCCCTTCTTCAGTCGGGCTCCCTGTCTCCATCCAGGAGCTCAGCCTCGCAGCAAAGTTACATGAACGGTCACCCTGCGGGCTGCCAGGTAAACCTGATGGCATTGCAGCAGTGCATAAACAAATCCGAGGAGAAAAATGCCTTTTCCTGGCATTCCACACCAGACCTAGAAGCACCAGGACAGGGAAAGCCAAAAAACTCAAGGGATACAGATGCAGCCTTTTTTTCTTTTTTCCTTTCCCTGTGACAAGGATTCTCCCATCGAGAAACGCAAGCATTCATACGCAGGCAGAAAAAGCTGCCCACTTTAAATACATATTTAGCCCCATGAATATAAATTAGTGGAACCCAAGATTGAGAAAACTACTATGCAGAGGGAATTCAAAAAAGAATTAAGTGTTCAGCAGAACTTTTTTTAGAAAAACGATTACTGAAAGGCTACGCAAACAAACACTGGGAAGCACAACTATGAGAGGAAAAGCTTCTGGCTTTTCACAATGTGTCAATGCACATCAACCAGCGCACGCCTGCAATTCCCAGCACTGATTAACTCCTTCCCCCCACACTGTACATCTTTCAGAGCCTATCTTGTTAGCATTTTATAACATCCCCGTTCCTAAATGCCTTTTTCCCCCCCCCCCATAAAAACATTAAGACTGCAAGCCTGCAATTTGAAGATTCTAGCTGCAAAGGGGAAGAAGGGGCATGAAAGGATTCCTTATAGAGGAGAGTCCCCTCCCTACCCTGCCCCGAGCCCCAGCCCAAACCCAGAGAACCCTTCAGATGGAGACCTTCCTTCTGCCCAGCAGAGATGCTTGCCGAAAGGGACTCGAAACAAGCCCAAGTGTGTGCGTGCACACACAGGAAGGTATTTTCAAAGCCAGCAGTTGATGTTTACTGCTTTCCAAGTCCACAATTAGCTGTCAAGCACCTGATTCAGCAAGTCTGACCAACCGCCAATTCTGCGCTCCGGACTCTGTCTGCCACCTCCCTTGGCCGGGACAGGAGAAGAAACCCAGCAGGAGACCTGCCTTGCTGCATTTTACATTCCAGATTGTCATCTCATTCACCTGCAGGTGACCAGCATCTCCAGGAGACAGGAGAAATTCTTTCTCCTAAACCTGGGATTTTCCAGGAATGAATAAAACCCCACCTCGTTATGGGTGTAGGCAAGGCCTCCCACCACACCTTGTTGTCTGGCCGTGTAACCATGGCTCTAATCAGGGAGTCAAGACGTGGGTGACTAGTCATGCATTGTGCTCCACCACTTCCCCGCGGAGCAGCAGCGCGTGGTGGCATTGTTCACAGGAGCTCAGCAGACTGCCGGGCATCTGACAGATAGACACCAAGACAAGTTCCTCATAGGAAGGAAGCCCTAATCTAAACAGTCAACTTGTAAACAGAGGAAGAGGGACAGAACAAAAACACAAAACGGCAACGCTAAACACATGCCTTGCCAGTTACAATATTTGGTTTGGTTTTTTTTTGAAAATATATCGTGTGAAGGTTTCTTACGGTCTGGGACAGGATCATAAAAGTCTGGTGTGGCACTTGTTATTACAGTCTCACTTCCAAACAAGAATTTAAGACTCCGCTTTACACAAAACAGGATCCAGTTCAGGAACAGGTTTTTTTAATCTCACACACAATCTTTCACAGCAACCAATTTATAAAAATACCAACATACAGGGTGCAATCAGCAATATGTGGACAGGGGATTCTAGGGAATAACATTTTAAAAAAAAGAAGATAAAAGTGTCAATCATTTAAAAAAAATGAAAGCTTCAGAGAAAAGAATGTTAAAATGAAAAGTTGGTAGTTTAGGATAACGTATGACTCTTCCTCTAGAGCTACTTGAGCTCCTATTCCACAGCATTTAAAGTTAAATTGCACACAAAATAGGGAGAACAGCACCACCAACAGAAGTCTAGTTTCAGGGTAACCAGTTACAAGACAATAATGGAATTTACTTCACTGAAATACAAAAGTTGAGTGGATCTATTGTTTCTGCCAGGAAAAAGCATCCGCTTTCTGATCTTCAGCCAGTTTTAGAGACAGACGGTCAGTGATGTGATTTTACCTGTGAGGAGGCCTGTGAAATTAATCCGCAAGCTGATATTTTTTATCAGTATACTCGTACTTTGCCAAAGATTCCTCCAGAGCACTGCTTCTGGAGACAGTCCCCTTCAGAAACCGATACCTGCTCCCCAGGCAGACCCAGGAGAAGGACTGCCTCCACCGCTCGCTTCCCCCTTCCCTTGCACGCAGCCTCCTCCTCCAGAAGCCACTGAGGATTCAACAATCAAACCAGGTGACGACAACAGAGATCCCAAAGCAAAAACGTGCTCCCCAGGCTTCTGCCACCGCGCCAGTCGCAGAAGAGACATGAGCCCAGGGAGACAGTGAGTGACATCTCGGTGACTGCTAACTTTCACCTTTGATGCCAGACCTGTCTCTCTCAGAGAGAGAAACTCTGCAGAGTTTCTCTAAAAACCTGCCTGAAATGGAACAAAGCTTCACCACCGAAATTCAGAACTACTTCTGTTTGTTTAAAAGAAAGAAGTTTTCTCAGATTACAACACAGACTAGGGAAAAAGCGATGGACTCTTACATAAGGCATACCCTTTCACTATACATTTGTATAAGCCAAGAACAGCAAGCAGCCTATTTATAACATGATTACATTCATCTAGTATAGCTAGAAACCATTACCACAGCATGATAACTAAAAACAATATTTAACCACTATGCATGAAGACACCAGCTGGGGGGAAAAGAAAAAAAACACACACACTCACACACCCCGAGTACTTTCTTACAGATGTCTAGACAATGAATTTAATAAAATCAGAATGAGCCATGCTAAAGAAATGTTTGCTCTCTGAATTTAATGAGCTACGTTACCAGGGACAGCGTTGCGTATTCCGCATTTCCCTGTTACGGACACGTTCTGGGATTAGCAGGTGAATATTTTCAGAGCCAGACAGGTTCCCATAGTTCCAAACTTACCTGACTTCTGTCTTTGTCCACTTTCTTAAAACACTTATTCAAGGACAGATTATGTCTCACAGAATTTTTCCATCCAGTGGGTGCGTTTGCAAAATAAGGAAAGTGTTCCAAGATCCAGTTGTATATATCCTTTACGGGCAGTCTTTTGGTTGGCGAGTCCTCGATGGCCATAAATATGAGGCAGCTAAAGGAATAAGGAGGTTTGCAGTTGGGGTTCTGCTTGGCATCGTAGGGCATGTCAGAGTGGGCAGGAGACGGCGGCGTGTCATCACCGATGTCCTGAACGGGGCTAACGCTCCTTAACACCGAGTCCCCAAAGCTTTTCAGCAAGTTCTTGCTCTCGTGTAACCAGTTCAAATTAGTTAGTTCTTCATCTTCCATGGCCCCTTTATCTAATCTGATGGCAGGCAAAGAGAAATCTAGGTCCTCGTCATCGTGAAGTGCCTTTGATATATCGCTATCTTGGTAACGTTGGCTCAATCCGCTGGGAACGCTAATTCCTGAGCCCTCTGGCTTCTTACTGGGAGGCATGACTGGACCCATTTAGACAGCAGCTCCTGGGAGAGGGAACCCGAAGGAAGGGGAGAAAGAAACAGAGAGAAAAGTAAGCTCATGAAAACATACTGCATAACGTTTTGACAGCTTTGCCCTAACTGGTCACTGGGTCTTTTACCATCTGCATTAAAAATGACAGACTCACATAAACACTCATCCGCAGCTGTGAAGTAAAATTATCTCAAGTCAGGAGAAGGAAGAAATTTCATCTGATGGAATAAAATCATAATCCCGATACCCCTCGCTTCTGCATGTACATGAAGCCCCACACAGGAAATCCTAAAGACATGTCCCTTTAATGATGAATATGTGTATCAAATCATTGAATACTCCGATTGTACCGCTTTAATAAGCATGTAAACTAAAAAAAATTAAAAAAAATAAAAAAAAGAGGGGCTTAAGGCCAGTTGCTTCAGATTAAGTTCAGCTGTTTGACTTTTGAGGACAATACAACAGCACCATGATTAAAGTCACTCTGGCTAAAGACTGCAGCAGACGAGCATCCAATCTGACTACAGTCGCAGTTGCAACAAAACTCAGAAATGACAGCAGAACTTCAAACCCAGCAAGGGTGGGAGAAGGGAGGAGGGAAAGCAAAGCACAGTAGTTTTGGGACCAGGGCCAAGACACGGGAAAACATGCGCCAGAGGAATAGAGCACTTTAAAAATGTATGTAAACAGAGAAGATTTTAACATAAGCTGAGCTGTATTTCAAACATGGTAGAAAACAGAGTCAGAAAGACTGCTGTGATGTTCAGCAGCGGCCCGGGAGAGGTGGGATGAGCTGCAGGCCCCAGGGTGGGGAATATCTGCGAGCGGTGATATTCGGGAGGACACGAGCCCTTCAGAGGCTGGGTGAAGTTGGGCACCTGCCCAACTCAGAAACAGCAGACAGGAGCCCAATAATTCTACTTCAGAAGCAGGAGACAGACTCCTTTACCTTCTCCTGCAGTACTCCAGACAGTAAAACTGCCAGGATCTAGGTCTGGAGATGTGAACAGCAGTGAAATAAAAACTGGAAAGAGTTAATAACAGACCTAAAACCGAAGAATCTTCCTGCACTGAGGTTGAACAAGATCAAAATGATTCCCTGTATCTAAAACGTACCCTCAGCAGTTCCCTGAAGTCAGGCAGTCACACAGTCAATACTGTACACGAAGGGAGAAAAACCTACTGGTAACAACAGAACAAGCCACCTATTTACAGGAAAAAAAGAACAAGCTAGCCATTCTGGGAAAGAGAAACGATGGGCTCTATTTTAGCCGTTACAAAAGGGCAAAAGCGAAACAGGAAAGTTCCTCAGGTCTTTCTATAAACACTTTATACCAAAGCAGCCTATACTAAAAACGAAACATACAGAACTTTTATGCACAGAAGCCCGTTAATACACACCATCACCCACCGAAGCTCGGCGAACGGTGTGTGGTTTGACACAAGTATCTTGAAGAGGGAAAAAAAACGCCGAGGCTGATATAAACACCGGGAGGCCAAACTTCGGCAGGTCCCGGTAGCCAGCTTTCAAACGGGTGGCCAGCACAGCCAGAAGGCAAACGCCAGCACCGCCGGGGCACCGGCACCACCACCTACCCCCCGCGCCCAACTTGGGCTCCAAATGGAAGTTACGTCCCATGAGCTTCCAAACAGGAAAATTATATGATGGCTGACAGTAAAGTAATTTAATTGCGCTGTTGCTATGACAACACGCTGCTCTCTTTCTGTTTAATTTGCTTATTTGCCAGTACCCTCCCAAAGGGCCGTATCGTACCATCCCCCCCCCACCCCGGTTTTTTTTTTTCTCCCCTCTTTCTTTCTTGTTTCCCCCCTCTCCAGGCCGCCGTCCTCACTGCTACCGGGGGTGACCGGGAGGCCGCGGCCCCCCGGAGCCCGGCTCGGACCGGCCACCGGCGGCCGCAGGGAGGCCCGGGGGAGCCCGGCCGGAGAGCGGTTCCCAGCGGGACGGGAGTGAGGGGTGCCGGGGGCTGACCGTCCCTCCCCCCCAGCCCGCTGGCGGGGCCCGGTGCGTGTGCATGGCGGCGCGGGGAGGGGGGGGATGTTAACGAGGCCCGTGTCGGCTGCCGCGGCGCCCCGCCGCCAGACAAAGGAGCGCCGGTCACATGAGAGCCCGCAGTTGGGCGAACATTTTTAATCCGTTGCCAATTGCGGGTGCCCCAGCGGATACCGACACAGCCGCTCCCCGACGGGCCTCACCGC